GCACGCTGAATGGCTGCGTCGCCGGCCATTCAGCATTTAATGATATTTCATAGAGGAAGCTAAAAATCACACGACAGTCGAACATCCGGTTTTTATTTTCCTAAATTACCAACAAAGTTGAATTAAATTATACGAACGAAAAATTGTAAATTTCTCATTGTTATCACGAGAAATCTCCCATTAAATGATTCCAAAAAAATATATATTACGCAATAAACGAACGCAGGCAACGTCGCTTCAATTAATTGCATGCTTGGTTTTCTTTTCAGAGAAATACGTAATTAGGTGTGTTTAAAAAAAATCATTAATCATTTCGTAAATGAACCAACTTTTGTTTGTACGAGTTTATATGTCCTTTTGAATTACTTACAGTACAATTTTCCCCACATCTTTAAAATGTATAAAAAAACTATTGAACTAAAAAAAAGATGAGAAAAATTGGCGTGTGTTACTTAAAAATAGCGCAATTTTAGCGAACTTTGAATTGTACCTAGTGTAAACAATGTTTAAAAATAAATTGTGCAATTTATTTGCTTTATCTAAAATACTAGTATAATCTGCTCGGATACACGTGCTCATGTACTTCGATCAAGGAACAATATCAAAGGAAAACCGAATTTCCCTATCAAGTCAATAAAAAAAAACTAATTACATTTAACTACAGAGATATAAAGTTCGTACAGATCGAAAATTAACTCAACAGAGCTTCAATTATTTCGCAACGAATTCGGATCGGCATGTTAGCGGAATTAGCGAATTTTCCGCAAGCTTTACCAGCGACATTTAATAAACAATCATTGTATAACAGGGAGATATTCGGCAGGAGACATTTTTCCCAATCCATTGTCGTTCGACAAAAAGGTTTCGCAACCCGTCCGTCGAAATGTGAAAGCGAAAACGTCGAACAAACCGCGCTTTATTTGTTCAAATTATTAATAACATTAAATTTGTTTGTTGGGTTTCTTTTTTACAATTTGCACCATAACTATAAACCTACATAAAAAGTACAATCAATAATAACCGATCCCCATCACGTATCAAGTACCTACAAGTATGTAAATATCGCCGAACACTTGTTACAAAAAAACAAGTATTATTTATTTCAATAATAATCTTTATGCATTCCCTATTGATTGTTTTATTTAAAGAATGAGGTAAGTGTGTCAAGGCTGAAATAAACTATCGAAGATAAACCGCGCGCGACTTTGACCCAATTCCGAAAGGATAATTAGAATAGAATTTATCCGCGGTGCAATTTCGATTTGTCGTAGAAATCACGTCTTTTCGATGAAAAGGGCCCGCTAAAATTGCTCGTTCGACGGTTAACAATTAACTTGCAAGTTATTCGAACGGGGAACAGGAAAACGACAATAAAATCCAGGTGGTAACGCAAACGAGTCCAGTCGGTTTAAAATTTAAAAGCTCCTGCTTAGTCGAGCTTATTGTGAGTATTGCAAAAAAAATTTAACGGGCATTCAAAGAGATTGCGTTAATATTCAAAACCAAAATTCATTCATACGACATATGCATTATTTATCTATCTGGATGCTTTTGTTAATTTTTTTTGTAAGTAATTTTAAAATATTTCAGTTATTTAAGATTTTGAAAGAATAACAATACCCTATCAATTTGTGTCCATATCTGAGTATTGATATTCATTCTTAGAGCTTGAATTTTATAACATTAAATAAAAATCATTCTTATAAAAACACTCGACTTCCTATAAATACAAATACATAGGAATTGACTTTGATTTTGTGTTACTTCTTAATCAAAAACGACATACGAAATATTTGATTAATCAATTTCCGAGAAAACTTGAGTGGAAAATTAACGAACGCAAAACAAAGTTGCAGAGGGTGCTTCTGCGAACGATAAACAACTTATAAGAGCCCGCGCCTTCGGCAAATTATACCACAGGTAGATTTCTGCTGATGAATTCGAAGCGAGATTTTTTTTTATATTTTTCATCGAGGGGAATTATATCAGCGGAAATAGCTTTTTAGAAAATATATAAAACGTGCAGCAGAATATTGTGTTCGGACGCGGTGCAGAAGAGAATACGAGCCGCGGCAATCAATTTAGCATAGGCTCTTTCAAGGTGAACAACAAAGTTGAAATGCCTATAAAACACTGAATCGGGGAATGTGTTATTCGAGAACAGATGTTTTTTTTTACGTAAAGTCGCGATTTATATTTTGAAATCCTACACCCCCTGCGACCCGACGTTAGATCTGCTATAAATTCGGATTTTCCTCTAACAAATCCGTTAAAACTACTGTCAACTAAATAGTAAAATCGATTAGCAATCGATTCCGCAACTGTCTCGATTCGTAAAGCGCCTATTCATTCAAATTACCGAAGTCCAAAGTAAATGTTTTTAACGAGCCATATTGGGTAACAAGTGTTTGACTAAGAATTTATGTAGGTTTTAGGATTGTTTTAAAAGTAAACTGTGCTATGTACCAATTCCTCGACGACTTACAACAGCGTTGGGTAATTTTAGAAAACGCTCGGTTTGCTAATGATATTTATGCTTCGATTTAAAAGAAGTCGAGATATACTTACACAGAGTGGAGACGAAAAAAAAAATATATATAGGCGTATTTGTGACTTTATTTGCATTTATATGAATCAATTTAAAATATTAAAATTTTTAATCAAAATCCACGAATTATCTAATCGCATTTTCATGGCTGCCAACTCACTATATTGTCCTAATTTCTGAAAGTTTTTTTTATAGCCGTTCCGAATATTTTATGTAATAGTAATAATAGATTACTTTTCGAAAATTTGACTAATTGAGTAAATATATTTCAAGTGAACCTTACATTAGAGTCCCTTCTAGCTTTAAGTTAGAGTAGATAAAAATTTTTAATGGAAAGCAACAAATAATCTAATCGCATTTTTACGTCTACTAATCTTGACCTAATTTCCGAGGAAAAGAAAAATCGATACACCACTCGAATATATTTGTTTATGGATCTGGAAACGATTGTTCTAGGGATCTCAAGGCGACGAAAAAAATTAATCAAACCAATTTTTATGAACGCTCTTCTGCATCAATTACACATTACAATACTATAATGTCTAATCATGACCTTAGTCAAATTTCTGTTGTAACGAATCGATGATAACCTTGGTGAAATTGGGTCAAGTAAAACGGTTGTTAATAAACAAATAAAAAATTATGTGAGTAATTTTAAATATATATATCGTAAATTTAATTAATGTGAGATAACACGAAAAAAATTTAATACTATGTATTTAAGAAAAAAGCCGGTTACTATTTACTATTGTAGAAATTGGCGCTAAGGATGCAAATATAAAAATAAATATTACTTATCAAGAAAAAGAAAATCAGGTATTTTTAATAGGAATAATTAGTTTTATCTCGGATAATTAAGTAAATTAGTATATAATGAGAATTTCAATATAATTACATGTGAATTAAATAATATTTCCAATCAATAAGTTAAACCACATTGTATACGCTCACGAATCCCAAGTTCAAATAAAAGCATTTTACAAAATAACTTGAATTGAGAAATACAAATTTAAACTTTGCGAAATTTGACTAAGATTAAATTTCAGACTATACACTCAGCACTAATTTTTAAAACTACTTTAATACATTCGCGGTTAAATATTTTACTATTCGAAATGTCATCAACCAGCTAAAACATGCTATAATAAAATTTACCAGAAACATAAAATGTTCTCGGAAAAAGAAACAAAAATAAGACGTCAACACTTGTTTGTATTTCCACAAGTTTTTACTTTTTTTAACTAAAATTTTGAAAATAATGCTTTGAATTTCATTCGCTAAGGAAATGGAGGAAGTTTGTTTTCCACATATCCAAACAAAACATTAATTTGTGCAGTAAATCTTTGCCGAGATTATGCAGATTTTCATCTAGCCTACCAATCAAAATAATCGTAATTTATAACTACACGTGGCCCGTTGATTAAGATCGCTTTTGCTATTCTATCAAAACAGGCGAGTCAGTCAGCCGTGTATTTTTTACAAAATAAATAATTCTTTATCTAATCTATCAACTAGCGAATATTTCTGAAATTTATTGGTAGGAAATCGTTAATTTTCTACTAAAAAGTTGAAAAATATGAATATTCAATACATTGATAGCTACAAAATAGAACGTCAGTAGAAATATCTTTTTGTGCGTAAAAGAAAAAAATAACAAACAAATTTAATTCTTACTTCCCGTACCAATAGGTTACAGATTAATGCATTATTTTTTAAATAAATCTAACTACATGCAACATATTTGTGTGTCTTTTTTACACGTAAAGGGATGCAAATAACAGAAATGTGTTTGATGTATAAAAATGGGGAAATTGGAGTATTCTAAAAGTGGTTGGGACACTTCCAAAAGTAAATCGATTGTACCTACCGCAAGAGACCGAAATGACCGTGACCCAATTGCATTCGATTTTCATGTAAATAGGAATTTGAATATTTAAGGGGCGGGTTTGCCTTTGGTAAACCCTTTGATAAGATTTTCAAAATACGAACGGTTTTAATTAAATTCGTTAGCATCGGGAGTACTTTGTTCGAGATAAAAGTTGTTTGAAGAACGATTTTTTATTGCTCCGTGCAACCGATGTTTTATTTCGAATTAAAATTCGTTTGCTTAAGTGTACGTTTTTTCGACGATAAGGACTCAGAAATTGTTCGGGGGGATTAATTCACTAGATTTAGGATAAATTTCGAATTTACAAAGTATTTTTTAGCACTTCCATTGAGTTTGCTAAAATAGAAATAATTTGTTTATGCGAGTATTTTATCAATTTAAGTGCGTTTAAATTTAAATATAGTACGTCATTTTCTGAATCATTAAAAATAATTCCTTATAGAATACGTTTTTTTTTAAGTTGCATGTGCTAAATTAGTAAAACTGTAACTGACCTGATGTCTTTGTCAGTTTAATTGAACTGTTTGGTGAAAAGAAAAAAAAATGAAATAAAATAAGACTCACCCTCTAATTTCATTCCGACTTCTAAGCACTTCTGAAATCTACAAAACGGGCACCGCTTCCTCTGCGTCTTGTCGATGTGACACGACCTTTCGGCCACGCACGTGTAAACCTTCTTGTTTTGCACGGTTCGCTTGAAGAACCCCTTACACGATTCACAGGTGAGCAACCCGTAGTGGTACCCGGACACCTTATCCCCGCACACGGGGCACAATTCCTCGATGCCGTACTTGGAGTCCGGCGTCTCCCCCATGGCCGTCATCGAGCCGGCTATCTGATAGCCGGCGCCCATGTCGATGCCGGACAGGGTGTGGGCGTTCACACCTGCAGAGGAAGACAAAAAATATGAATTGTCGATGTTGCTCATCGACTGGGACATCATCATCGATTGCTGGTAGTGGTGTTGCATGCCCATGGTGGTGCTTTGCTGGCAGCTACTGTACGGTATCGGGGTGGCGGTGTATTGGGGCGGTAGCGGACTCGAACTTTGGTTGTTGTTCATGGGCGAGTCGTTAGAGTTCGTGTGAAACGGGGACGGGGACATATTCAACGATAACAGCGCGGAGTGGTTCTCCATTTCGAGTAACATTTCACGGTGTATGTCTACCTAAACGTCATAGTAAAATAGATATCATTCGTATTTCTTTTTTTCGTATGACCACTAGAAACACTCGATGGGGGGCGGTTAAAGATAAATCCAAAACTAAATAAGAACACCTTAGGTGCGCATGTAGATGTTATCCAAATAAGCAAGCGTATAATCCAAAATAAAATGTGGCACATGTACACACAATCACACGCGCGTTTTGTTGCAGCAACCACCACGCGATTTTGTTGCTTGTTTTTTTTTTTCTTGTCGATAATAAAATTCGATGCAAACCAATTACCGAATTTCGATCAATTCGAACGAACGCCGAGCAGCATTTTCGAACGATTACAAAACGCAAACGCCGAGCGACCGCACGAAACCGAAATCCAAACTCGACGAGTTTTCCTTATTTACTGGCGTGTACGTTGCCTGCACAGGGCCACGACGCGACGCGAAATGATTAGGAGTCCGTGCAATAAGTGAAAGTGAGTTTGAGTTCGGGACCACTGACCTACTTTCCAATGAACCAGGTCTATGTTAGAGCCGCGGCGCGGCGCGGTGTGTAGTCGTCGTCGTACGTACGCGCTCGTCGCTTACAACATCGTGTACATACACACCACACCACACGCCGCCCGAGCCCGAGCCCGACCGGGAGGCGGGCGAAAGGGGGGGCGGATTGGTGGGACTCGCGCCGAGTGGGGATGGCCTACTGACCCACAAAGGCGCGGCGCATCATGTGGACCGTCGTGGCGCAGGGCATGGATCGACGGGAAAGGTGCACAGGGAAAGGGTATACGCACCGCATTTATTCTTCGCCAATGAAAATTGCAATATTTCATCGGTTTTTCTTCTTCTTCTTCAACATTACTATGGCTTACGGAGAATTTAAGCGAGAATAGGACGCGTAAAAGGATTATGTATAGTTGAAACGAGATAGTAGGTATCGAGGCGAGTCGAGCCGGCCCTTTACCTTCCGCACTTCTCCCTAAGTTTTACCCGTTTATTTTCATTTTCGATCCGAACACGTGCTTCGCCTTCCGGAACGAGATGGGAGGGGCGCGCGAAAATTCCTTCGCTATGTCCTAGATAACGGCGGTAATATATTCCCTTTGGGATTCGATATGTTCTAGTTTTTTTCGTAAATGAAATGTGACTAAATTTTAGATATGAACAGCTTTTCGACAATTTTAAAATTGCGCCACTTACCCCTCTTAAAGGGTGTTTGTAGTAGTTGAGTTTCGTTTATTTTCTCGTCCGGACAATTGGAGAAAATAGATGCGATAAACTAAGTGCCTCGTGTTTTAATTTGTCAGCGCATTTGAATGAATCTTAAAATAAACTCAAGGGCATTTTTGTTATTGATTCCTACATAAGTCTAAAAATAATAACAGAAATTCCACATAATTACCTACAAGCGCAGAGATGTTTTCTAAAATGCACTCGAATTTTTTATTACCTAAAACATTTCTTTCAATTCGAGTGTTTTCATTTTTTCATAAAAATATAATAATACCGTAACCTTGATAATCTCGTTTTTATACCAACCCCGTCTATTTCATAATTTGCGCGAAAATTACGCGTAACGACAACCGAAAATTAAACATTTAATTACCTGTCCGTTCGGATCGTTCGTTCGTTAGGAAATGCAAATTGTTAATTTTCCCGTTAACCGAAAGGAAAATGGAATTTTCGCCCGGCATCGAATCAACAACCGACCGCATCCTTGTCGACCACGTGCCGATCGCGATCGAAGTAAACAGATAAAACGACGAAATAAACAAGGAAAATGATAAACATCGCTCAATTTCGTTACGCCGTAAATCGCTAATTGAATTTACCCGCCGGCCAATTGCCATAATGCATCCATAAAATGTATTATTTTTTCATCAACGCGGGGTGAAACGGTCGCAATTTAATGTTGCGCCACAATAAAAGCCACGGAAACAGAACTAATTAGAGCTAAAAATATACAAAAATGATACTTTGTATTATTGATCCAAATATTTTACTATAGACTCAAAAGTTTTTTAAAAACTCACTTGTGCTACTGTAGACCCAAATGTTTTCTAATGACTCAAATTCCTCCTTTAGATACATGATGTGTAAATTATCTACTAGACTTATCATTGAATTGCACTAATATTATCAAAATTGGAGAGTGATATACAGGATCTTGAATATCTTGAAAATTCAACCCTAAAGAGTGCAAAATTTTTTCTTGTAAAAAAATTTGATGATGGTTTTCAGATAGAAATGAATTTTATTTCACATTTTCGCACACACAATCGAAAGCAATGCTGATATTAGGAGAACAATGTATGTATTTTTATCGCGACTGATAAGAAAAGTAGGTTATCGCATTGGTAGCAATTTTGAATTATTACAGCCATTGGGTCAGCAATGCGTTTATATTTATCTTTCGTCTGCAACAATAAACGCGCTTGCTGGCAAAAGGAATTTCTTAAAAAAAATCGCATTTATAAAAAATCTTGGAATGAACAAATTTAAATCAAAATTCATGCTTTATTAGGAGCCACTTGGGAGGTTTCAAAAATTCAACTCCTAATCTGAGATAAAAATAGCAACAATTTTGATAAACTAAAATTTCCAAAAAAAAAGCCTGCTCAAAAATCACGAAGGATAAACTCAATCAATCAATCGAAGGCGAAACCAGTAGAACCGAATTTTTCATCTAAAAACTAAAACATCATTTTCCCGATATTTGGGTCAGTAGGTTTATTTTCGGAGCACATTTAACGCAATTGTAAATAAATAAAAGTGTATTCGAGTAAAATGGGCGTCACGCGAACTATCGATTGACTCGTCAAAAACCTATCGATGTCGCATAGGGAAAAATGGTGCGATTTTCATATACACTCAAAAAAAAAAACAATCACCTCATAATAAAATTAATTAAGTTTTGATTGCATATCAACATAAGTGTGTGTTAATTTTGAATCTGGGCCACTTTATCATATTATCTTTTAATTGAGCCAACTTTTGCACTATCGCCCTTGACACAATAACGTTATTTTTACGTGCATTTCATTCATTTTGCCGCCTTTATATGGAAATATCTGATGCCGGTTTAAAATATCGACGGCCGAGTAAACAGAAATTACTTTGCGTTTCTCGAACAATTTACGAAAATAACTAAATTACTTATTTCTAGCAGTACTCATTTATACTTCCTATGTAAATTGAATTTCTTTTTCGCTCACTTTATCAAAATAATTAATTAATACTTACACCACATCTATAAATAACGAATTGATGTGGTGGAGCGTGCGTTGCTACAAAAAATTATTATCGTACTTCCCAACTACATATAATTTATGATAAATACTCCGGCTAGGATATCCTTAGCTTGTTTTAGAAATGCAACTCTTTAATTATTTAATTTCGTAAACGGCTCAATCATATCGCCTACGGCCTATCTCCGCCCATAAATAACAATCAGCGCTTCCTTTTTCCTACGAAAATAATTTTTCCTAACCAATTCTAATTAGCGGATTTTCCTCTTTCATTATTTATTCGTAAGTAGCTAAGGTAAAAAAATTATTGTATTGTTAAAAATTTATTTTTTCATGGCGCAAGCATTTCCTCCGCTAGATGAAACTTGGAAAAAACAATTAATACTTAAACTCGCATTAAACTTATTAGAAATACGATTTTAATTAGCGCATTATCTCGATAAAAATAAAAATGAATCTCATTCGGCGTGAAGACGATTTACCTTGGCATCAATTCCCATTCGGAGTAATAACAATATTATTAACGAAACTGCTGTAAAAATCAATCCTTAAATATTTATTAATTTTATAATTATACGCGGCCATTATTAAAGCTGTTTGCGTAATGTGTGTTCATTTTCTTTGCACTATGCGATGACGGAATGAGAAATATTCCAATTGATTTATCGGTTATCGGATACATCGAATAGATTTCTAGTATTATAGACAACTTTTTAATATGTCCCAAATTTTCATTTCAATTATTCAATTAAAGGAAAAATGAACCTATTGCAGTGAGAATATTTTGAACAGTTTTTATTACGAAAAAAAAGTACAAAAGAATTGTTGAAAATTGATCTAATTACAGTTTAAAGTTTAGTTTCGACGGTACTCTAATTACACGTTGACATCGTGTGTGTATTTGTGCGTGTATTAGCAAATCCATTTCTTCTGTGTGTGTGTGTGTGTTGTTATGTTCTGTGCAAGTTCTTTTATAGTTGCGACACATCTTAATTTTATTAATTCAACCGGTCATTATGTCTGAATGAAATTTCACGTCACGTATCTAACCTAAATTTTGGCCATTCTGTTATAATGTAGCCACATTTGAGTGTGTAATAAAAATGTTTGTAATGGGTCTATTTCTTTTTAGGAACGTTACATTTTGAGATATTTAAAACGCATTAATGATTTAAACAGTAGATATAAAAACATGGGAGACTCGCGTAAACTTCACTTGAATTTAGTTACACGAATTTATTTGCGTGCAATTTCTTCTCGCTGAAAAAGAAAGGGTAAAGCCATTAACGGCGACATTTCGCAATCGAATTTCTTTATAACTAACGATCATGAGCGACTAAACACCGTAAATCGCAGCGGCCGCTTATCTAAATATGTTATCGGGGATCGCCCACAACGGCAACGGGTGTTCCTAACTCTCGACCGACATTGTTTCTAACTTTTTAATTCCTCTGAAATTACTCTCTATTTGCGAACGCGTACGCGCCGCCATTGCTCCTAATATTTCCGTCCGGAATTCGAATTGCGCACTTGTTATAAGAGAGGAGCAAAACATTAAATTTAGGACAACCCGTAGGTATTATTCAAAAATATTGATGCAGAGAAACCAATTTGCGAATCAACTAAATCGTGCACTTGAATAAAAGCGGTTCATTTGAGATATTAAAGTTAATCGCTCGACCCAAATCTCGCGCTTCAAAAAAAAAAAAAAGAAAACTTTTGCTTTCTTTTGAAACGTAACGATTCCTCGGCGATTATAACAACGGTTTTAATTATATCATCGCCGGCGATTCGTTCATCCTACATTTTCTCCGGGCCCGGCCGATCCTTGTTCGGAAATCGCGCGCCGGTTTTGTAAACAGAAAACGAAATCGGATTCGCTTTTCAAACAATGCAATTTCGCTTTTTTGTTTTGAATTTAATTTTTTCACTTTCGTTTCAGTTTATAAACAAAACGGTTCGTAACCTACATAATTCCCGCGTCGGAATGGACCCGGTCACGAAAGTTTGCAAATTTTCGTGTTTATTGTTTGTACGTCTAATATTTTGTTATTATACAATCGATAGTTTCAGTAAAGAAATTAAAAAAAAACATTGTGGCTAACAGATTATGTTTGATTTATATTTGAGCGTCTGGAATTTGTTTGTCTTTTATGCAGTAAACATGTTAATTCCGTTTGCAATAAGTGCACATACAGGGCGATTCGCTCTAAAAGACCTCAGCAAATCCACCCTCAATAAATTAGATACCGCAATAAAAACTTTTCTAAATCATTTTCAGTGGAAA